TCAAGCTCCTTAACTTAACAGCAACCCAATACAGTCCTGGAGGTGATGTCTGCGTGGTGGGGGGGCTCTTGCGCCTCTTTCTTTCTATACACCTTCCCAGTGGCCAGTTCCTTTTTCATGTTTGTTACATATGGTAACAACAGAACATTCTGTTCGGGATGAGGACCCAAACTGATTATCGAACAATGCAGGTCAAGGTCCTGGCAGAGCCAAAGCGTGTCGCCACGCAGCCGCAGCCGCAGCCGTAGCGCAACAATCCCAAAGGACGGCTTGGGATCTGGCACTATTGGTGATGGGCAAGATCCCTCATGAGACCTTGCGGCAGATGCCTTCTGACGCTTTGTCATGCTTTGTCCATTCAACTAGTCACACAAGTCTACGGTAATCGGCCGCTTCGAGGCTGTATTCGTGTTATCGTGTTACATGGGACTTGCGCAGAGGCCCTCTGCAATCATAGCCTGTCCTGGGCTTGCGCGGGGGTGGTAAACTTGAGAATGCCTTCACAGTAGCCATGATGGAGTAGCAGGAATAGAAATAGTCCGACAAGTAGCCATAAGCGTAGGTTAACAAAGTGCCGCAAGGTAAGCAGTGTTTATTGCAAGAGCTTGTTCATGATGATGGTCGTGGGATAGTACTCGTATTCATGATTTGGACCCCATGCTCCGGAAGACAGATGAAGGAGGGATTGGCAGTTGTAGGATTTGACATGCAGGGCTTAGAGAGAGAGGATGTTGGCTTGGAGACGGTTCTGTAAATTTTAACCCGGCTCAGGAGGGCTACGGCTACGGCTACGGGCACAGCCGCAACAAAGGCTCGTTGTTTTCGGCGCGGGTTCCTTCACTCCAGCGAGATGTGTTGCACCGCACAGGTTTGCGCGCGCCGCCTCCAGAGGTGTCAATTGCCCCCAAGGCCTCCTGCATGAGATGCAGCTTCCGTCGCCATCCACAGCAACGTGTTAAGTTGACTTGCTGGCTGGAGCCGAATTGTTCCTTCTTGCCTTGGCAATTTTCTTCGTGTCCCCTACGCAGGCGGCCAATGGCCAGAAGCGACTCGTTCCCAGAGCAAAGAAGCGGCTCAAGAAGCCTCCGCCAGGACGGGGCAATCATCATGACAGAGACTACTGCTTACAATTTGAAACAGGGCCGAAATAGGTGCTCAATATGAATCCTTTCCCCTAGTATGAAAGGGTCCCCCCCCTAATGAATGTATATACTCCGGCCCATATTGAATGTTAGGGTGGGGCATTTGTCGTATGACCCGAACATTAGGGGGGTATATAACAGGATCCTATGGAAATCTAATCAACATCGAAGGAAAACCGCTCGAATCGAATAAAAGAAGCGACTAAATCTAGTCAGCGTGTAAATAAAACCCGACTAGAATCAATTTAGAATCGTAATCGAACCAATAAAAATGGATTTCGAATGAAATTAAAGTCGAATCGAAATAAAATTAGAATATGATTAGACCCACTTGAAATCTAACTAAAATCCAATGGTTAAGACGATGAAAGTCGCAATAATACCAATTACATCGCATGCACATTTTATGTGAATTCCTTCAAACAGACCATTCATAAACATTAAAAATCCAGGAAATCAAGGAGATCCCTAATACTCTAGAGTCATGCTAGAGACCCAACCCTAATTCAGAGGATCCAAGCCGTACGTAACTTTAGTATTAGGAGGGATTAAAAACTAGGGGGAGGGGATTAAGGGAGTATTTTCGAAATATTGTATTGTTGTTCTAAGTATACATGACAATCCCCCTGAATAGCTTTTCACCCAAGGATTGGTAAGCTTGAAAGGCTGGATTCATTTGCACAATGCCAGCTTCAGCACCTGCAGGATCCCGCCCTGGCATTGTCGTCATCGAAAGTCTTCCACTCATGTCCAGATTGCTTGTTGACGTTTAGCACTGTCGTTTGCCTGGGTCCTAACCCAAACAGTACAGTAGCAACAATAATGCCCTGGCCAATGTACTCGTAGCAGGCAGTTATCCATTGTGGTGTGCAAGTGTCTAGTATGGCACCGTCATCTTGCGTTGTTTGGTTCGAGTTGAAACAGCTTTCTGCACACGCTACCAGGACCAGCATAACAGGCATTGAGGGCCATAGGAAAGCAAAAGAACGCCATGGTAGATTTAGCTTTTTTTTCAATTCGCAAAGAGGCAAACGCATAATTACTTAGTTCGTTTCAAAGGGTTGCTGTAGTCCAGAAAACAGAGGAAGATTGCAGACTTTCCAACAAGTGTATCAAGTGATTCAGCCCTGCCACAAACCGCACTCCAGTTTTAGGAGGGACCAGTAATGGGGACCCTCCAGGCGCCACCAAAAAAGATGATGGCTTTATGAGGCATACCTATATATCTATATAGATCTATATATATATGTATAGGTATATGGGTAATATGAGGAGTGTGGCCAGAGAAGTCTGTAGGAAGTGAGAACCAGTTATTCTGCAGTCTCTGATCGGCGTCCCTTCCGTTTCCACCTGTGTTTCGTACTATGCCTACCTACGAACCCTTAAGCCACGACGCAGATAGCCCTAAATCCTAAACCTTTAGCTCTAAGGCCTAGGCCCTTAACTTTGAACCCTAAAACCCAAAACCCTAAAAGCCTTTAACCCTTTGCCTGGAGGCCCGAAAGCTGGGGGTGGAGAGCCTCCAGCAGAGTGGGGGCCACGGGTTACTAAAAGCGTGTTCGTTCATGCCATGGTTACATGTTTAGGGGGTTAGGGTTTAGGGTTTAGGGGTTTCGAGTTTAGAATTTCGGTTTTAGGTTTTAGGGTTTAGGGTTTAGGGTTTAGGTTACATGTTAGGTGGACCCCCCGCCCAGTAACAGTGACTACAAGGGATAATGGCAATTATATCAGGGCCTTCTTATATTCCAATTATACCAATACTACAGGGGGGGTCCTCCTAAGTTATATGGGCCATGGTCTAAACTCCTTAAAAAGGGAGTTTTATAGGGGATTGTATGGGGCCATACTATAGGGGTTATTAAGGGGGAAACTAGGAGTTCAGACTATAGCTTATATGGGGAGTACGTAGTGATGCATATGGCATAGAGGGTCTTCGTTTGAAAGCTATGGCAGTCCCTACCTCATGCACCCGAAGACTTAGGGGAACTGAAGGGCGTTTTTGATGATTGATGACGCCTGCGGGGAGTACACCCAAATCAATCTTCAACTAAATGTGAGAAGCCCCCTCTTTGTTTCACCCCCGCTAGTTCGGGAGTTTGGGCAATCTAAGCAGACGATAGTCGCCGCAGGGATCACGAGCATCCGACGCTCCAACATGATCCCTATCAGCTGTTACTTGGCTGCGTCAGGCTAAAGCTAGAGTATTTTGGGGTATACGGCAGGTTCCTTAAATTGGGAGCTTTATTTAGACCCCAATATACTATAATCATGATTTTGGGGACCAAAAAGGATTCCCTGATTTCCAGAAAACCCCTTATAAGGGGGACACCTGTTTTTGGAAATTCCCCACAACCTGTGTGAGCGAATTTCTTCCCTGAAGAAGTCAAACTCGCTGAATCCAGATACCTCTGTCCCTAGACACCAGAAGTACCAGAAGGTGCTGCAAAAGTTGCAGATGCACTGGATGCATAGGAGGGGCTTCGCTGGGTCCGATCCGTTCACAGAGGCCACACTATCTAGAGTCGAAACTTCAGGGTGCTACCGTGGCCGTGTAACACAAATCAACATGCCAATAAGCCTCCAAATCTTCGGCATGCTGCCGCCAGAACAGCGATTTGTTCTGTTGAATCCTTGCAAGCAGCACGCCCTACATGTGGTGGCGGTATCGCTGGTAGCAGCATTGAGATGGCGGTGGCAGAAGAAGAGAGAGATAGTTTACTATTCCGACTATGTGTCAAGTGCCACTATGGCAGTCGTTTGCCCTCCCTAGAAAGAGAGAATGAGAAAGGGCTGGAAGTCTTGCAGGGAGCCAGGTATTATGAGATTTACCGGACAGCGCAGACCCAGACTTCCCAATCATGATGACAGGTCCCAGCTCCAGCACTGAGCAAATCTAGTAGCTTATCTGAAAGACCCCAGACTCACGGGATCATGATTCTCTCAATGACCCAAAGCGGCTCCCCTAGGCTCGATCCAACCGAGCCGGTCCTGCCACCGAAGGCAGACCCTAATTTGGAATGGAGGGCGGGTAACGGGTGTACAATAATCCCTTCCCCCCAACATCGAATCAGGGGAGGCTTGAATATTAGAGGGAAAGGATTACTTCTGTTGCTCTCTTTGAGTCAAGTTTGTGCTTTGCTAGGAGCTTGCTGCCTGCAAGGCCCGCACAGATTTGCTGGCAGCCTGCCCGTTCATGTTAGAAGAATACCTAAACCTCATAGCAGAAGGCATTGTTGTTGTTGACTGTGGAACAATCCTAAGATGTCTTATCAGCTTCCTCAAGTAACTCCCACTGCTTAGCTGCATGTAAGGCACTGGAAGTGATGATGTGTTGCAAGTCAATGACCCCTTACATAAATCCTATGAAAAGCCATTTCTCGTTTTCCTTTTCTTGTCAATTGAATTCTCCAGTATTGGGGGGTAATTCGTATCCCAGACACGGTCAGACCGTTATTTGTGAGCCAGCGAGGGGAACCTTCGGCTCCCAGTTCAGATCACCAGTGCCAGTTCTCAAAAGTTTGGCATTCTGTTACTTTTCTAGGCATCTTTGAGTTCAGGGGAAAGAGCAAGCGCGCTGGAAAGCCTTACGAAGAGCAGCCACAAGTGCCGAGTTATCAAGCTTGTGAAGGTTCAGTTCTTGGAGTGTCCGCAGGTGGCCCATCGGAGCGAGAAGCAGCAACAGCTGCAACAGTAGCATCTGCAGAAGTTGGGAAGTAGCAGCCAGTTGTTGTCATAGGAAGAGTCGTTCTGTTCCCTACATCGTTAGTCATTACCCTTGGGCATCTGTAATGCAGTAGAGCACATTCCTGGAGATACGCGTAGGATTAGTAGGAGCAGCAGTACCAGAGGAACTGAGCCATGGATGATTTGGGCACCTTCGAGCTTCAGCTGCAGGCTGGGACGGGCTGCAACGATATGCTTGAACTCCTTCAAGCCCTATGGTACCCAATAATATAGGGTTTAGGGCCCTATAATGGAGAATCAAATGGAAAAGAAAATGAAAAATGAAATGGAAACTGGGGTTATATAGGGGTTATTTGTGTAGTATTTTATTTCCCCAACCCATGGCCGGGGTTGGGGTGTACGGTGTCACCTCGCTTAATTGCTGAGAATCCATAGGTCGAAAGCGCGGCTAGAAATTCTGGAGCTCTTTCATTGAATGTTACCTTCCACACCGTTTCTAGTCCAGGGACACCCATACTCCCTAAAAAAGAAACCCTCATCCCTAATTCCTAAACCCGATACCCTCTAAAAACCCTATATAGAACCCCTAAACTCTATAATCCCTAAACCCTCATCCCTAATTCCTAAAACCCCAAACGGCAGGTCTTCGCAGCCTCCGTAAAATGCCTCGGAGATCCAGGCACCTGGACCCCGCGGCGTCCGAGCTTGGAGGTGACTTTCGGCCACCTGGCGAAGCATATTAGGGGTTATATGAGCTATAGTCTAAACTCCTTAAAGGGCGTTATATAGGGGATTATATAGGGGATTACTATAGGGTTTATTAAGGGGGATACTAGGAGTTTAGACAATGGCTCATATATATACATATATAGGGTTTAGTTTAGGGTTTAGGGATTATAGGGTTTAGGGTATAGGGTTGGGCTGGTACTTGAGACCCACTGCAAAAAAGGGTATAGGGTTTAGGGTTTAGGGATGAGGGCTTAGGGTTTAGGGTATATATCGGGGTTATATATAGGGAATAAAGGAAATGAAAATGGAACCTGCTATGGTAGATTTGGGGATTCTATTGGGATATTATGTATAAACCTACTGGTGGTGAGTAGGGAACGTGGGAATTCATTATATCTAGATGGTGTTCCTTAATTCACGATCGGCAGATGCAAAAGTCCCTTTGGCCCTTACCAGAAACCGCGCATCACGTATATATGCAGGCAGATGGTATTGGACTGTACTTTGAGGGCTCAGGGGCGAATGCCGCATGACTGTTGTCATCAGAAAACATCTTGACGGCAGATCAATGCTCATACCAAACCTGATGCCTCTACATCCGTTCTACTTACGTGTACATATGTACACATTTTCTCTCTACTTGTATTTGCCCCGTTGAGGCTTGTACCAGTAAAGCCCTCTATGCCTCTGAGAATTCTCTATGGAAGGCCGTACATCCAAGTCCAGGTTCTAGAGTTGCCATCCAGGCCACAATTGGGACCTGTCCTGGAAATACCCGGACTAAGTACTTGGACCATGATGAGTGTTTGTGCGAAGGTGATGTGCAGTTGGAGACAAAAGCAGCTACCTGGGACGAGCATGCCAGGAGTTCGAGAGGGTCATGCTGGATACCCAGCGGACAAGAGTGCCCGTGGCGCTTTGATGACACATTGACCTTTGCTGCATCCGTCGAGGAATTGGAGTCACATTCAGCTCTTAATTTTCGTCTTCGCGTCCAAAGTGACATTGTGCTGGGTGTGGTAACTGTGAAGCTCCCGACGGATGTGCTAGGCGTGGCCACCGCCGACCTGTTGCGGCATGTGCTGCCAATATGCAGTCCCACTGGGCCTGTTGACCGGTATCGATATCAAAGCCCTGTGCAGATGGTGACCCTAAAGGCAGCGGATGCTTCTGAAGTCGGCTCCATTGCCCTGCTCTTTGGCATTGATGCAGACCCGAAGGAGTTGCTAGCAGCTTCTTGCATCACAGCTGCTGCTAGGCCTTTGTTGCGACGACCTGATGATGCAGCGCGGGCATCATGGTGGCTGGAGTGCTGCACTTCAGAGCGAGGGCAACGTGTGTGCTCAGAGCATTGCGCTGCCGAACAAGATGGACAAGACAGAGACACCTCTCTGAATTTGCCAACCCTTCTTCGGCGCCCTGAGCCCCCGTCCTTGCCGGCACCAGAACAGTCCCCTGATGGATGGATTTGTCGCCGAGGCCCGGGAGGACGAGTCTTTTGGCACCACAAGGCCTTGGGTCCAGCACCTTGGGAAGCCGTTCCCTGCAGCTTAAAGAACAACAGGGCTTTCCACAGGTCCATCATGGGCAAGGTTGCAGACCTCTCAGACTTGCCACAGAGTTCAGACTCAATGCTCTGAGACCTTCAGCCAGAAGCTCATCAGGCTTCCTCTGGAAATGATTACCTTGAAATGTTTCAATTCCAGTGTTTCTGCTCCTGCAGCTTATGTGCTGTGAGGACATGTGGCGTTTGGCGCGCCAAAGACACAAATCGCCAAGCAACCCAAACAGCGTGCATCCATTGAGCTACCTTGTCTACGATCTTCAATTTTGTTATTATCCTGAAGTCAGGTATCCACGTGCTTTTGAAAGCTCACTTTTTTTTGGCTTGCTGGTGGACAGGAGCAGGTAGAGGAACGAATCCCGAACATAATCCGTCATCCTCACTCATAGTTCCTATAGCCCATGCCTCCTCATCGCCCTAAACCCTAACCAGCAGAATCTGTTACTTGTAGCTTCCACGATCTTACCCATTCCTGCATCCCTTTCTTAACATCAGCAAGCGCTGAACCGTAGACCTCAATACAATCGGCTTTCCATCTAGTTGCCCACTTGCTTTTCCCTGCGAGCTACGGACTAAATTTAGGTTGGGGGGGACCTAGAGGGGACTATACAAGGTTTTGGGGGGACCTATTAAGGGATATGCCACAAATTCAGTGCAGGGCTCATGCAGTTCTCTATGGAACCCAAGAACCTCGACCCTCATACCACCCCGACTTTCCCAGCGTTGCCTCTTTGATTTTTCGGTTTGGTTCTCCCGCCGAGCCCTATAATGCTTGTGAGGACAGCCCAAAGCATAACCAGGTCATATCCTTCCTAGGCTCTTATAAGCAATGTTTTTAATCCTACTAGTTTTTCCTAATAGACCTACCAGGATCCTGCACACTAGTTCCCTATGTCATTCCAGTTTCTATTTCATGTCCCGTGCTCTTCTCCATTTGATTCCCCACTGCCCTAAACCATTAAGGAATGTATCCCTAAATATGACCTCTATATATCCCTTGGAGAAACCCTGAGTCCTATACCCCTATGTAACCTCTACATATCCCTTAGAAACTCGGAGCGCTATACCCCTACATATACTTCATATGTACAGGTATATGTGTGTATACGTATATATACATACACACGCACACATACACACATATATATATATGTTTAGATGTATATACCTTAGAAACCCTGAGTGCGAGGTGCTGGTGCCGGAGGGCGAGCACCAGGGACCTGCTCGAAGACAGCATCCGGAGGCCAGCTTTCAGGTTTAGGGTTGAGGGTTCAAGATTTAGGATTTAGGATTCAGGGTTTGGGATTAAGGTTTAGGATTTGGGGTTTAGGATTTAGGGTTTAAGATTTAGGGTTTAGGGTTCAGGGTTTAGGGTTAAGGCTTTATTACCATTACTTTGGGTTTGGGGGGGGGGGGCCATTTCGATTTTGAAATTTTGAAACTGTAAAATTTTGAAAAGTGGGCCGCTAAGTAAGGGTAAGTTGGTATGGGCTTGAGGGTTTAGGGTTGAGGGTTCGGTGTTTGGGATTTCGGTTTTACGGTACCTGGCCTGGACTAAATTAGGTTGTCCTCCTGTTCTCTAGCTAGAAAATATCTTCGTACGTATGTATGTTATACGTATATATATATATATGTATATATGGGTGTGTGTATGTGTATGTGTGCATCTACCGTCTTGTATGCGTACATTGCCACACATGTATACACGGACATGCCTAGCTTTATACACACACACACACATATATATATATACACGTGCGTATATTCAGGGGCCCGCCAGCTTAAGATACGGGACCATTTGAGAACCTATTCCTGCAGGCGCCTTCTAGGCTTTACAAAAGGTCCCGATGATGGGATTCATCCGTAGGATATTTTGCCGGGACGACCTTCCCAAGCCCGAACGGGGTTGCAATCTGATTGGTCCTGCAGGCGCGCAGGCCTGCGGAGGCAGCCGGGTGCTGAGATGCCCATCATACTGAAGCCCGGTTGGGACCCCGAGGTAGCAGCTATAGCAGATTAGCCGGCGGTTCGGGGCGCACTCCTCTCTCAACCTGTTGAGTTTTTTTGCAATTACTATAAATCGCATCGATTGCCAGCTTTGTTGGCATTGGCTTCCACAGAAAAATTTAGCATTTTCGAAATCAGTCGAAGTCCGCGCCGCTCCTCTAGCAATGTCATGTTGTCTCTCAAGATTTGTGTGAATACTCGAGTTGTTTATTTGCATTGCCAGGTCTACGAGCGGAGCAGAAGTCGGAGCTGCTCCGCCTACAGCTCCTACAGCTACAACAGCCCCGAGCTTGGCACAGAATTGCATGAGGCTGGAGTCTTCCAGCCTCAACAGAACTGATGGAGAAGTAAATTCACACGGGTGAGTGCATCTTTTTTTGAATCCGAGTGTTCAGGAAAGACTTCAGAAAGCATCTTTCAAACGTCTACGGCCCATACCTGCTTGTAATGCTTCTGTGCCTGCAGGCTACTACTCCTATTTCGGCAGTAGCAGAAGCTGGTCGCCGCGGCCAATTTTTCCGGACTCAGGGCCGCCGTTCTTACCTCAGATCTTTCTTGGGGGGTTTCCCAAGATTAGGGGTCCTACTTAGGGAAACCACGTTATGTCTGCAGGAGTAGCAACAGTACACTTCAAAGTAGTGGCAGCTGCCATTTTTGTTGTCATGGTGGTTGTCGTCCACCGATCACGTTGGTTTGCCATTTGGTTTGTAGCTTTTCACCAGTTTCATTGCTGAACGCTGGCGTGTTTCATCTGCATGGCTGTGAATTGATATCAGTATTGTTTATACTACTATGATTACTATTGGTTTTATCGTTATTATGACTAGTGCTACTATTATGTTATCACTGAGGCCCAGAAGAAGTGAGTCACGAGGTTGGCTGTTTGTTCTCAGAGAAGCAGTGCCGCTCCACATAGTGGTGGTTTCTTGGGAATAAGGGCGGGAACATAATCCTTGTAATATCCCTATATAGTTTATTCCCTTAGTAACTAGCAGCAAGTCCATGTCCATGATGTTGACATTGCCTGGTATCTCGAAGCGTGGCACCAGCAGTATCCCGCATGGGCTGCTTGGCTGGCAGGTCGGAACCGAGCTCAGGCAGCTGCAAGCTAAGATATGTCCGCTTGACATAGTTTGACGTGAAAGCAGGGGTGTCCAAAAGGCTGGGGTACCGTTTTAGAGGCAGACAAGACGCATTATAGTCACCCCTAAGTAGATAGAATATGGAACTGCCCAACATCATAATAAGATCCCCATAGACCCCCATATTCTAGCTACATAAGGGGGACTATACTTTGGGTTCAAAATATTAGGGTCCCCCATTTATGGAACACGCAAATGAGCATGGTCTATCGTGTTGAAAGAGCCAGCGGAGGCAGCGCCATTAGAGGCCCCGCCTGGTAGTTGGGTCCCTTGCGAGGAGGCAGGTCTAGGGCTCAGGGTTTAAGGGTTTAGACTTTAGGGCTTAGGGTTTAAGCTTTAGGGTTTAGGGATTATTGGGGTTTAGGCTTTAGGGTCTAGGGCTTAAGGTTTAGGCTTTAGGGTTTCGGCCTTAGGTTTCCTGTCACTTTGGAGATCTCAGAAGCATCCCATGCCTGGATTTGGAAAGCTTTTGACAAGAAGGTTGGTCACGGAGGTGTCTACTGGGAGGGTGTTAAGTTCGGGTTATTTAGGGATAATGGAAAACAAAATGGAAACTACTATAATGGTTTACAAAGAGATTATAGGGTATATATTGGGGTTACTTAGGATTATGGAAAATGAGATGGAAACTGCTATTTAGGGTTTAGGGGTTGAAGTTTGTGTCCGGCAGCTAAGAGTCCACATGCAAAAGGGGGTTGGAGGGTCAGGGACACGTAGTAATTAGGTTAATAAGGGGGGATCTAGGGTTACTATATGGCTTGTAGGGGATATTAAACTACTTACTAAGTCCCCCTGAGCCTCCAAGTAGAAGATCATTTAGAAACACGGCTATATTGGGGTCGCCTTACTGTGGGAAACTACCGTATCTTGGCTATGGGGATTTCTCAAAATTAGGGGTACCATTTTGGGGGCCCCAGAATAAGGACTATAGTATACTGGGGTTTATATTGGGGTCCCCTTCTTTAGGGAAACTACCGCTTGGCTGTCTCCTCATCGTATTTTGGTGAGCTCAAGGTTTCTTTCGGGAAATATATAGGGGAGTAATTTAGGGGTTGTTTAGGGGGATACTAGGACTCTAGACTAATGAGTCCCTCATTGGGGCCCCGACAGACTTGTTCTTGGGGTCATGGTAGGCCACTTCGTTCTGTGATGTGCTTTTAGGCTTGCCTTCATGTACAAGCGGTCTTAGCAGCTTAGCAGTCCTGTTTGTGGGGGGAGGGGGGTGGTGCGGAAGGAGTCCTCGCCAATACGGGAAGGGGTGGGGAAACTTCCTTTGTTCGTAGCGTCGTAGCAGTTTAGTCTTGAATCCTTGCGCTCGGGATGTAAAACATAAAGGTTGAATACACATGCTTGCATGCTTTGCATACATGTTGGGCGCACGTTCGATGAGTGAATCCTCCAGCGGTTGGTTCAGGATTTTTCGCGCGTCTGTATGCAGAAGCCTTGAACCCAAGCCCTTGTTTTGATACATATCCTGGTATTGGCCCTTGGGATCCCCATAGAGCTGCTTGAGATGCAGGCTCCCCCTGTGTCGGGAGCCACTTCATCGCATAGCCCGGCGCCACAGGGCATCCATGTTCTTAGCCAGCTCGCACGTCGCAGGTTTTGATTGATGGGTGTGGGGTTACGTAGGGCCTGATAATTCTATTGATCTGACAGGGTGTTTTCTAGCCAGCAATATAAGATGGTTATTCTTGTTGGGGGAGAATGAAGGAGCCCTTTCTAATTCCTTTCTAATCTCTTCCCTTGTTCCCTACGGCGGATTAGTAGAAGGCTTGAGCCTGGAGCCGATGGGATACGGGTGTTTGTGCAGAAATCATTGATTACTGGGTAGGCCCCTGGGATATTTAATATTTTCCCTAATGGCTTTAATAAGGGACCCTACATACTAACAGTTTTCAAAGGGTTTTAGGGGCCAACCCAGATTAAAGGTTTAATGCCACACACGCTGATGTCAAAGTTTCCAAGTTGTGCTTTGATTTTTGTTTCTGCGCACCTGCCTGTAAGGATTCGCTATTTTGACCAGAAATCCCCCCGGCCCGGTGAGGCGGAACGTGAAAGAATGATCTCAACACTACTCGAGCCAAGTTACCCAAAGCCGCATGCCACCAACAATTCCAAACGTACAGTAATTGGTTGCTCCAAATCCTAGTCTACCAGCTAAGAACATCAGCGCTGCACCCTGAAACCCGAAACCCTTAACTCTATGTAACTCCATTACAGTAGTTTCCATGTTCCTTTCCATTATCCCTTATATAACCCCACTATGCTATAGTAGTTTTCATTTTCTTTTCCGTCATACCAAAGTAACCCCAATATCCCCCCCGGAATAACCTTATTTAGAGACTCTACCATCCCACACCCCCCAGGGGTCGACCAGATTTGAACTTCGAGTTACGCTGCTGTCAACATGGGGGATTCCAGTAAACTATACGGATACTGTTCTGGGAGTCCCTACAACACAGATTGGTCGATTTGGGTACGAAAATAAAATGCAGTGACCCCCAAGTCTTGGAAGCACCCATAATTTCAGCTAAGGCCCATGTTGGTGCTAGAGTCTGCTAGAACCATCCCAACCTTAAGCCATACCCCTGAAGCCCCAGGCAGCCAGCCGCCCGCTGGTCCCCCTCAAGGCCGCCTAGACTCTAAAACAATTGATGGGGGTTTTATAGGGGTATATGAGCTATGGTCTAAATTCCTTATATAGGGGACTATTATAGGGGTTATTAAGGTGGATACTAGGAGTTTAGGCTATAGCTCATATAATGGTAGTAGGACGGAGAATCAAGTGGAAAAGAAAATGCAAAATGAAATGGTCGGTACTGTTACCACGGGTAGTAGTACTATATGTATCATCGCTATTTCCACTACAGTTTCCGCCTGTTTTGTTGTATGGATTGCTTTTAGAAAGCTGACGCCGCACATTGCTTGTAAAAGTCCTACACGACCTCCATATACTAAAGTCCCCACCACCTGTTTTATTCACCTTGCAAATGCCCCTGTTTTCGATCGCAACCCCCCCATGTAGTCCTTGCGTTCCCAGATCCTAAATCTCAAAATCTGACTTGAGTATACATTGCAGTTCTAAGGGTATTATGGAGGTAATACTCCCCTATATATTCCCCTATATAACCCCCTTTAAGGAGTTTGGACTATGGCTCATGTGGGTATTGGGACCAGGGTTGGGGGCTGGGGATGGGGAGTTTAGGGTCTTATGCGCTTACGGATGATCAAAAGGAATATCAGGACCCTGCTGGGTATATTGCTATATTCTTGGGGTTCCCATCTTACTGCCTTAAGATGAGCTTAAATTTGCTCATTTGCGCTGCCCGCATACCGGGAGGTGGCGGCTCCTGACGCTGCGAGCATTTCAGATATTATATCCTTGCAAAGTCTAACAATCCAAGCTCCAGACGGCAGCCAATTATTTGAGAAACTGACCCACTCTGTAGGATTAACTTATATACCCTATGATAACTATACCAGTGTCCATTTTATTTTTCCACTATCCCAATATAACCCCAAGTTGCGAGCCCCTTTCCCAAACACCCACTTCTTGCAAGGCAAGAATTGGCAGCAAAAACACTGCCGGACTAGCCGTGTGTATATGGGTGGTTGTCAAA